TTTTCAGGCAAGAATGTTGCTGCGTAAACTTCAAATATCTGCTCGATTTATCAAGACATCACATATTTGCAAAAGTGCTCTAACGTTTTCCGAGATGCCTGTTACCCACCAGCTGACCGCACAGCTGGACTGGCCATCGGGCACACCCGGTTTTATGTTTATTTGTTGTTTTTGTAACGGTATAAACAATGAAAGGTGGTGGATTAGCCAATTGGTCATGATCGACTCTGGGCTGGACCAAGTACAATACATCCGTATTGAGGTGAAGTGTTAAAACATTCTTTTAAATGCAGCTGCCCGGCATCTTTTCAGCTAAACGTGAAACGACTACAGAGCTCTGGGTATTCACAGAAACTCAGTGAAGCATCCCTGCTGTGGCAGTTAGAGAGCCAACATCTGTCAGTGAAGGCTGACATTAGATCAGATTAGAAAACTGTGGAGCATTAAAGGTTTGCTGTGAATGTCATTAATCATTTTTATCTAATAATTCAGAAATAATGAAACGAGGTTGATAAATATCATGGTCAGCCCTTCATTTACCTGTTGCCATGGTGAATCCTGATCTGAAAGCTGCATTGCTGGATGCTTTCTTTCCCTACTGATGTAGGAGTACTCAGGATAAACACTCGGATGTTTTCTGCTCGAGAACATCCGAGTCGCGAGTTGATCCGTTACAGTTTGTTGGACATACTTTCTGGAATAAAAGGAGGAGATGCTAGCAGGTGGTGATGTACGACCCAAATCTGCAAGCGCCAAATGATGAACAGTCAAAGTAAATCTGAAATAAGTATAAAAATGAGTGAATTAGCAGACTGCACAATGTGAGATGACGAGTAACAGTTCAGAATTCAAATGGCGCAGCAGCCACAGGAACCAGCAGCGAACAGCTTAACGTTGCAGCAAACACACACACACACATAACTCAGTCAAATTCAGTCTTTTAACCTGCTGCACGATGTGTTTCTGTTTTCTTTTCCCCAGATCCTCACAGTCACTATGCCCGTAGTGTCTTCATGAAACTGCAGAAGTCTTGTTCAGTTTGTGATGTTTTTAAAAAAAATAATACTGCAGCAATAAAAGTGTTATTCATAAAGTCGTTTAGTGTTGTTATTCCATTAGTCATCAGTTATCACAAGGATGATCTGGAGGGCCTGAAGTCTGTAAAACCTGTTTTGAAGGTTTTCTCAGGCTGTTGCCCCACAGTTCATGTTTATTTTTCTTTTCTAA